TAAAACGTTGACAGAAAAATTAAATTTCATATATATATATATATATATATATGTAATATGATATAAATAAAATATTAAACAATGATTTGCAATTCGGTTGGTATCATGAATTCATGTATATTTCGCGTCAATTGAACGTTCAGTTATTCAACCGAGACATTATGAACAGTTGTGTTATATAAATTCACGCGCAATTGTCATTCGTAATACAGTGCATGATCTAGAAATAATGCCCTGGATGATGCGGAAAATTGGGGTATCGCTCAATTATTATAGTCACTCAAATTATCGTGACATTAAAAAAACATTTTGTTACGTTGTATCAATCTGTAGCATGCTATAAAAAATTGTACAATAGCTAAAGAGAAGATGAGAAGAGGAGAGAGGCCCGATGTTACACCCGTAACGGCTAATCTATGAAATGAATTCTATGATATGCGCGCGTTATCGCGTAGATATATGATAATAGAATTATCATTGAAGCTGTAAATCTTGCCTCACGGCGTTCGTTAGAAAACGATACAATGTACTGATCTGTAACTACGAATGAGAAAAAAGTCAGCTATGATGTCCATAAAGTTCATGTCCATCTATCACACAACCAGCCGTACTTTAATTTTGTTGCGGTGGTTCCGGGTCGTTCGGATTGCCGCCCATTTGCCGTCTCAGCGACTCGATCAATTCGGGGTTTGCGTTCTGCATTTGCTGCGCCAATTGTTGGCCTCTGAAATATTTATATGCATACATACAAAATGTACATAAGTCACATCATTCATTTGCTACAAGGATACAACTAAAAAAATAGAGTTTCCCAGAAAATAAGTTTAAATATTTTGAATCATTAAAATTTTGTAATATTAATCTTAAAATGCAATTTTAATGTATAACTGATTTTAAAGAAATAAAAGTTTTTTTTTTAGTTTTGTTGCAGATCAACATCATATAACATTATCTATTGAACTAAATGTCGAAATTTTATTTTGTTCTATCAAACTTACGCCTCTATGAGTAATTCCATGCGACCACCCTCTTCCACGTTACCAGACATAAGATTACACATCATGTTCTGCATAGCTGGGTCGGATAACATCTGACGCGCCATATTCATTAAAGAAGGATTACTTAAAAGAGCGCTCAAGTCCATGCCGGGTAAATTAGGCAGAGACTGATTGACACCTAATTGGGCCAATTTCTCTTCTGCCAACTGCAAATTGTTTCGATAACTTTCGTTATCCGGTTCCATCGCTAAGGCTTTCTCATAACTCTCCTTAGCCTCTTTATGCCTCTCCAAACTTGAATATGCTAAACCTAACCGACCGTATGCCTTGCTGTATGACGGATCAATAGAAAGCGCCGTATTACAGTCTTTGATGGCTAAGGTGTGATTACCAAGTTTGCTATGAACAGCAGCTCTGTTACAATAATACACTGCATTGCGAGAATCTAATGTTATTGCCCTGTAAGCGAACAAACTAAAGTTAAAAAAGAAACAATATTTACTCAAATTAAGAAAGAAAAACTGTATACTTTGTGTAATTGGCAAGCGCTTCATGATGCTTTTCTTGTTTCATAAGTGTATTGCCTTCGTTTTTCAATCTTTCTGCTTCAGCCTTTGCTTCTGGTGTAGCTTCTGGACCCAGAACCGGCGCGGCATTCTCCACTGCATTTTTATAAATTTGATACAGATTTACATTTGCGGGGGCATCAGAAGCTTGCACATTATAAGCACTCTCCAGACACTGGATTGCTACTTCCAAACTCTCTCGTGAATCAGCAGTTATATCGCCATCTTGCAATTGGTCTGTCAGAAACTTGACAATCGACGAGACTAGTCCCTTGACAGCCATCAGTACTCAGTGAAAAAATGCTCCTAAAAACAACATCCAAGATGTAATATATTCCATTATGCCATATATAATATTAAATTATCCTGCAATTAGTAAATAAAAAATAGTAAAGAAAATTAAAAGAAAAACAGTATTGAGACACAAGAAAGACATATCAAAGTATATATTTCTTTTAATGAAGCATCAATAA